TTTATTTGGAGACGAAACACAAATGTTTTATGCGAGGAAAGTGAAATGGAGATTTCTAAAACATTGTCCATTTCAAGGCAGGTAACTATTGAAATGGAGCGACTCTGTTTATGATTATCCGTACCACTTACAGATGGTCGATTAGAATAAGGAAGAAGGATGTCTTATTCAAAGTCGCCAGAAACTCGTTAGATTAAAATGGTGACAGCAACTTTATAATATAAAGACCTATATTTACCACAGATTGATCGACCAAGTTGGAGAAAAGATGGTATGATGAGGTTAAAGTCGGCTAACGTCTTGACTTTATCAGAACCAGAAGCAACGTCCTGTAATTCTTGATCAATGACACTATTACCAACACCAAGTGCATAAACATCAACTCCGTTAGTTTTAGTTTTTTCAGCTGCAATCTTGGTCAGTGCCATATTATCGGAGTAACCATCTGTGATGACCACCATTACTTGGTTAGTTCCAGGTCGGCCTCTCTGTTCCAACATCAGTCTACCTGAAAAATTTAACCTTAACAATATTTATATTATCAAAAAAAGAAAAAAAAAAAAGAAGGATCCAAACTGCAAAACGAAACTCAAAATTCAAAATAACAGTTTGGCAATACATTGGCAAGCCCGTAGAATGACCTGATTGTTCGGAGGGGCAAGTAATATATACGGAGGGGCAATGGTGTAGATGAGGTATTTTTTCAACGGGTGGGGGGGGGGGACACCTGTAGCTATGGCCTTGTACAGTGGCTGCAGCATGTGAATTCATAATATATACTATTTAGAAATAAGGAAGTATTTCATGTCTATACCATTAGTATTAATTCATATATACATTGATTGTTTTTACTAACTATATGTTTATTATTCCATTGTTTATTATTCTATGTATCATTACCTTCGTCAATTCCCAGATCTGTTCGAGTTCCACCTTCTGGATAAGGTAGGTTTGTTATTGCTGTAGAAAGAGAACTCAAGTCTCCTGTTAGGTTGATGTTATCAGCTGGGTTCACACTAGAACTGAAGGTTACCACTCCAACGTTGATTCCGCTCTCACTTACCGGCAGATCAGTAGCAAATTGAACCAGGTTTCTTTTCAGTGAGTCGAAGGCTGTCATGCCAATAGACATTGAACCATCTATCACCAGCACTATATCAGTCGGTCTACAATCTGAACGAGTATATATATATATATATTTCAGTGAAAAGACGGACCAGGTATTTTAAAGATAGAAATGGTATAATTAAGACATTTCCTTTCAATTCCCTAAAACCTTTTCAATCAATCACTACGATTTTCAGTTCATTGTATTGTGGATCTTGCTATTCTACCAATACTAAGCATTTTATGATGTATCTATAGCAAAGGTCCTAAGATATTATTAGCAGCTTTTGCAATAGTCAGGTCTTGTTCGTTTCTGTTTTTTTTTTAATTACAGAAGCCACAGACACCTGACTGAAAATTAGATTGATAAGAATAAATGGCCACGATACACATAAACATTATTTCAAGGTTACATACATTACTACGAGATACGATACTTACAATTAAGTTTGGGAATGACACGACACTCGGAGTTAGCAATGTTGTTAAAAGTGGGTAAAACTGCATTGGTATCCGGAAGCGTGATAACTTGACTCGGACTGGATGCTATGGTTGCAAGTTCGTTTGAGTTGTAGAAGACACCGTTGAGTGAGGTAACACCGATGGAATACACAGTCATAGATACTGGTCCTGTCATGGATTTTAATTGAGCGACTTCTGCTGTTGGTATTGCTCCACCTCGAGACCGACCGGATGTCAGAAGAATGACAACTCGTGGAGCTGTTCTCTGCTCCTGGTCGTTATTAAAGAGATCGATTGCTCCGTTAATACCATTAGCTAGTAAGAGTCCTCCACCCAGAGGATTTGGGTTGTTGTTTATTTGCCTGGTTAAGTCGCCACGGTCTCCAGATAGAGGTATTTTAACGGTTTGAACATCATTGGTAAAGACCATCCCCACCCTGAAGGCATCGTTATAGATCTTGTTTTGTACAAGAAAGTTTTTGAGTGATTCTATAAAGTTTGTATAGACGTTGCCTCCCTTGGTATTATCCGACGAATCAACCACAAACACAACATCGGCGCCACAAACTGAAAATATATCAAAATACTAATGTACAACGTTTTATAACTGATATCCGTCAAAGAATATACTATACCAGGTTTTTTCAACCTTTTTCTTTCTTTTTACTATCCCTTTCAGTATCCTAGCTCAAATGCATTACCCCCCTTACCCCTACAAATCCTTACTAAAACTCCCCTTCCCTCTATAAATCCTTACTATTACCCCATTCCCTCTATAAATCCTTACTATTACCTCCCTTCCCTCTATAAATCCTTACTATTACCCCATTCCCTCTATAAATCCTTACTATTACCTGCTTCCCTCTATAAATCCTTACTATTACCTCCCTTCCCTCTATAAATCCTTACTATTACCCCATTCCCTCTATAAATCCTTACTATTACCCCCCTTCCCTCTATAAATCCTTACTATTACCCCATTCCCTCTATAAATCCTTACTATTACCCCCCTTCCCTCTATAAATCCTTACTATTACCTCCCTTCCCTCTATAAATCCTTACTATTACCCCCCTTCCCTCTATAAACCTTACTATTTATTCTGAGAGGTGGAACCCTTTTCAAACATTCGACTACCAATCAACAAGAAATACCATGATCATAACGAGTTTGAAAGAATGAAGGAGATCGAGTTACTCACGCAACACCATCCAGGGCCGAGTCTCACCGCCATGTCATTCGACCCGACCAGATCTAACGAAGAATCAACAACCAAAATAAACAACACAGAATCATCCAATTTGATCCAATCCAACTACCAACTACTACGACTATCAACAACTACCTAGTTTGTGATATCAGCATCCGCTGGAAGCGAACGTTAACTTGTCATCTACCTACCTACCTACCCTTTTCAAGCCAAAAGAATATATCAACATGGACAATTTAAACTTACGAGCATTTGATGTAGTTACTGCTGCTAGAGTTGTCAACCTTTGTGTAGTTGGTGATAAAGTGGTAGTAGTTGTTGGTGGTTGAGTGGTAGTGGTAGGTCGAGAAGTGGTAGTGGGAGCTAAGGTTGTAGGAGGCGCTGGTGTGATTTGTACTAAAATAGAGACAAGTTTGTAAACGAGTTATTGTTTTGATTATAAATAATAATAGGTTTTCAAGTTAGTTATCTATTTTCGCAAGCAGGGTAAAAAATTAGCTTAAGAGACGGAGGATGTAATTTGCCGGATAGGTCCCCTTTAGCTGAAAATTTCATGGTATAAAATTCTTAATTGTCAGAACTGGGGGAAACAGCTGCCTCTCCTGGCTTGTCCTATGCAGGGTTAGAATATCTGGTACTTACCATAAGTTTTACATTCCTGAACAGCAATGTTACTGACGGCCGCTAGAAGATTGGTGGTGTCTGGTAGAGTCTGAACATTGGTTCCACTTGTAGCGATCATTCCCAGCTCGAATTGATTATACTGAGGTCCTGTAGGGGTTGATACACCAATAGAATGTACTGACATAGTTCTGCCTGCTGTGGTGTATTTCAGATTATTGGCCTGGAAGAATGGAATGGCACCACCCTTGGAGGAACCTGCTGTTAGAACAATGGATACCCGTGGAACGTTACGAGGTAGATTGTCACCGTTGAAGACGTTCATAGCTGACGTTAACCCTGTGCCTAATAACAAATCACCTCCCAATGGATTCATATTTCTATTGATTTGGTTGTAGAGTTCAAAAGGGTTTCCACTAATTGGGACTTCCACCGTTTTTACATCGTTAGTAAAGACGATACCAACTCGAAGAGCGTTATCAGAAATAGGTTGTTGGATGACGAAGTTCCTCAGCATTGTCAAGAAATTATTATAGTTGTTTCCACTTTGAGTTGCATCCGAGGCATCTACGATGAAGACGATATCAGCACCACAACCTGAAAATATACAAACCAATACATTTAGTCTCTATATGACATTTAGTAAGTACCATATATAAAAACAGCTTTATAGAACAGCAATCACCGACTGATTAAAGTTTTAAGACTCTTTCAGAACAACTGTCTGCCCTTGCGAGTAAGCATGCTCACTCTTCCTAACCACCTTCCCACTTTTTGTCTGGATTTTAAAGTTCACCAACACTAGTCAGGGGATTATTTAACTATAATGGACTTACTTTCAGGTGTTCTAGGTACAGGTAATGGTTTGACGGCAGTTGTTGGTTGAATGGTAGTTGGTCTTACTGTGGTTGGTTCTTCTATAAAAGAAAAGGAATATATTAAATGGAGTTTTACGTCAAACTTTTATGCACCAGTTTGGGCAAATGAATAAGGGTAAACTGCATACAATAAGGGTATTTTGCAAGGACATCAGCATTAGCCCACTCTATTTCGATTTCCAACTGTTGAGGGATCTTTAACATGCACAGTATGTAGCACGCGGAGTCTCGGTTTATTGTCTCATCGATTAAATAGAAACTTCAAATTATTTTGTGACAGCCGACAGCAAGACGAACTGGCATTGACATCTTTTCTTTTTCGATTTCCAACTGTGGATGTATCTTTAACGAGCACAGCTTGTAGCACACAGGGTCTTTTTTTGTCCCATTTAAAGAAAGAAACATCCTTCGATTAATCGGCAAACGTTAAAAAATTATTTCATTTCGGTCGACAACATTTTAAACCAAAAGAAATGAAAGATCAAAAAGAAACCAATATTATTGAAATATTCTTACCACATTTATTGATAGATAATAATTGTAACGAATTGTAAATGGAGCTAAAGTCAGTTGCTTTCTGAACATAACTAGGACCGGGAAAGGTCGCGATCTCATTCAACTCAGCATCATTTACTCCTCCTCCAACACCTAGCGAGTACGTCTCCACTCCAGCATTCTTGGTATTAGCCGCTGATATTTTGGTCTGGGATGGTATGTTGGACTGTCCATCAGTGATGATGACCAATTTCTTGGGTATGTTGGGTCTTTTACTGGTCAGTACCATATTGAGACCCTCGTTGATTCCAAGATGAGTAAGGGTACCTCCCCCAGGGAAGGGCAGGGCGTTGATGGCCGCCACCAGCTGATTCTCGTCACCAGACAAGTTGATTAGCCCGGTGGTTTGATCCACGGTTGTACTGAACAAAACTAGACCAACATTGACCCCGGCTGGAGTGACGGGTATTTGCTTGACGAAGTTGACTATTTCACTCTTTAAGGTTTGAAAGTTGGTGATTCCGATGGATAATGATCCATCTACCACTAAAACAACATCGGCGGGATCACAAACTATAAAGGAGACAATAAAGATTGTAATATTGTAGTCGTATGATATCAAATGATTTCATCTTAAATAAAAGATGCCTGTAAAACTCTAATATTCAACAGAATAAAACATCCGTACAAGCAATACCATTCCAGTAACCAAAAAGCTCGTCCAAAGTACATGTATTGCTAAATTGGTTAATTCGAAAAAGTCCTTATTGGTATTTTCATGAGTCAATGATTTTTCATATGATCAGATGAACAAGTTCGAAGGTCGCAAATGAGCGTAGTTTATGCGTCTCGTTTGGGCAAATATATTATAACTCCAATTATCACTGGAGATGTGCTCACATTCTAGAATAAGGCCCAGTTTCTGAGATCATCGAATTAGTACTTACCACCAGCACTGTGAGTTTGAGTGAGTCTTAAACTCACGACTAGTAGACCTAATAGATATCGAATCATTTTATTCTTCACCTAGAAGATATAAGAAATAAACCAAAGGCTAGGTTAATGAAGACGAGCAACGCTATGCAGTGTGCATAGATGAACATTTATGTAGTGTACCAACAAATTTTTTAAAGGTACACAATATGAAGCACATGGGACCTCAGTTTATTGTTCCATCTGAAAACTAGACGCCTTTTCCATGTCAGTCCCTCTTACCTTCTTCACTTACAACGAACACCGTGTGATCAGCCCAATCCAACCTGTTTCATATCAATGAAAAGATTCTCGTACACTAAATCAGTGTTAGGAACAGGGAGGAATTATTACCAGGGTGAAATGTGGAAGAATCGACTACTACCACATATTTGATTAAGAGAGGGTTCAACGCAGTGAACAATGCACTCACAAGAAAACGACTGAAATTTACGTCATTCACTCTGCCCATACAAAAATCAGGAACTAACATTTGGCCAAAGTGTCACAATAAACTATCTCGATATGTGGATATTTCATATCTATTCATGGTTAATCGTTGAATATATTTTTCTAAGGAAATAGTTTCAAAATGGCTGATTTATTTTGGGGAGAAATAGATTTTTGAAGAACTCTGTCGGGGAGGAATGATCTCACTAAGGTTGAGAAGCACTGTACTAGATATTAAAGGGTACTTACCGGTTACTCTATAGTACTATTGGTGTTACTCTGTAGATGTCTGTGAGTTATTCCCCTCATATGGTAAATCAGTTTTTGATACCAGGTCTTGAGATGTTACATTGGAAGGGAATCATCAAATGAAAAAGGCACCGCCAATTCTGCAATTTTACTAAATGATGTTTTCTTTGGGCGGAACCAATGATTCCTTGTTCAAATTTATCTCCCTTTCAAAGGTTATTAGATCAATGAATAACAGTGAATTGGCCCCTATTTACAATTTTTTTTTATCTGAAATTTCTGTATTTTGTTAGGAATTGTGTTTATATTTATCTACAAGGATGTTCTGTTAAACTTTTAATATGTTTCGTTCATTTCCAATTTCCAAATATTGATCAACAGTGTTTGGTGTTTAAAAAGCTACTATGAAATTTAGTATTTATTGTGTATTTTAAATATTGAAGAAAAGGGATCATCACCGTTTACTCATTATTATTGTCCCTGTTTAATAATATTTGATTAAATTTGTATAGATAATTTGTGAGAGGATTTGAAGGCCGACACCGAGCCGTCTTTCAGAAGAAACATGGCTGCGGCAGTAGAATTGTTCTGAACCTGAGAAGGCATTCATGGCGTTTTGTCGCCTAGCAGACGACAATCTAACTTGGCTACACTGCCATATTTTTATAAATGATTAGAGATACA